GTGCCTACGAATGTTCTGATCACATCAAAATTCATCACAAAATGTTCAAGCGTGTATTGGAAATAAACCATAAGAATAAAGACGACTGCTCATTCATTGTGGAAAACAATGTGCCTGTGTCAGTATATCACAAAATACAGTGTCCTGTTGAGACGATGTCTGTCAGATGATGGACGAAAGCTCAACATGGATCCATCAGGGTCGAGGGACCGTCTTAAGTAAATGCTCATTAGTATCTGTCGAAGCTCTGAACAAAGCTTTAAAAATTATATCTAACTCAGCACGTCGAAGTAGACAAAGTATGCGATTTACTGGAAAATTAATAAATTGTAAAGTAAGGATATTATAATGATCATATCATTTAAAAGGCACGGATGCAGTAGTAGCTAAGCCGAAACAAATAGCGCCATGAATGTGAAGGCCAGAAAAAAAATTAAATTCATGCGGTCAAATAACACATAAGCACCTTTTGCAAAGCTGTGAAATAAAAAGACTGAGAGGAAGGGGCATTTACTGTCGCTGTGACAGATAATCCATCCTGTGAGCCGAGAAGAAGCAGACGCGGAATGCAATTATGAAAGAGATGCTGATTGAGCCTCGTGGATTATAATGGACTTCTGACGTGAACGGCAACATAAAATTGGCAAAATAAGAGGCGCACAATGCGCTTTCGAGTTGCGTAAGGTGTTCTGAGGCCCAGAAGAGGTCTAAACTGGAGTCCAGCCCAGGCGGATTAAGAAAATGTAATGGAAGACAAGGCTAAATGACATGAAATTACATCACAGACTCATTCATTTTATCGTGGGGAAATCCAACCATCCGACCTTGTATCGCCTCAAGTGACCTAAATAGATTCAAGTGTTCATCCAAAATGTACACACAGTTGCGAAAAACACTCACATTAAAATTCTGCGAAAGGTTTGCGCAAAGACCAACCATTCAACTATGAAAATTAAGTAAGTAAGTAGGGTTTCGAGACTACCAGTAAATCAGTGTACTGAGATGTATTCACCCTATTTCGTGTAAGGTGATGAAGGACGTAGTAGAATTTTCCCACAATGATATGAGTTGAGCTGAATACATCTCATTACACTGATTTACTGGTAGTCTCGAAACCCTACTCTTATATGAATATAAGTAAC